ACAATTCATTTTGAAGTCCATCACGTTAGCAAAGTCTAGCATTTGAACTAGGATTTTGGAAGAATGTTAATGTTGGGCTTGAGAAAAAGACTAGTTTGGCTATATACAAAAAAAGTGAATTATACTTTTTCTGAATATCCCAGGGATGTGCTACAAATGTTAATAGGCACCCAGTGAAAGACTTTCAAGTGTTTCTCTTTTTTCCCAGCATATGTGGGAAGGATGGCTGTACTTATTACGGCTGTTGACCTTGCAGGATGAGTACTGTTCCCCATACGAGGTCATTGCCATGATTTCACAGGGAGGAGGCTCCAGGTGAAGAAGAGGTGCTGCAGCGACTCAGACCCCTCTGTCTTCTTTCTATTTAAACCCTAGTCCCCTTCTTCTTGTCTTTACATGAAATTTGATCATGGCAGTACCCTTGCTTCAATCAACCCTAGTTCTCAAAGTGAGCCGATCAGGAGTCAAATGCAGCAAAACACAAGGAGAGGCAATTTGCAAATCACAGCCGCAGCTGTCCACAAACTTCACAGTGTAGGTGAACAAAAGAGGACATGGCACGCACTTTTAGCAGAAGTGGCTGGGTGATGGTCTTGCAGCCTCTCCCATTAAAAAAATATGAGGGAATACTGGGTAATTGCATTACTAATTTTATTATTATTTTATGTGATTAATCGGCCAACACAAATGTTAAAATATTTCTTCAAAACAAAAATAAGATTGGGTTCAGCTGAAAGAGCCTCATCAGAGACTAGTTTGAGCTGGAGAGAGTATCTTCTTGTTATGTGTTCATTTCGTTCTATTTCATTCAAAAATAACATGCTAAGCTGAATGAATATCTGATCATAGGAGTCACCAAAGAACACTTCAATCTAGTGTTCTGATCAGTCCCTGGAGTGTCATTAGGCAAACTAGAGGGCTAGACTAGGGGAGGAAGGAAGGAATGTGGAAGAGTCCACTTCCCTTTACCTGCTGTTAGAATAAACAGCTCCCCGTGTGCCCTGGGATCATGTTTTCTGATAGTACTTTTGTTACTGAATGAGTCAAGTTCTTCGGGGCCCAAATCATATTCTCTGACTGTGAAGAAACTCTTGACATCATCCGACCCTGAATAATTAGGTAACTTCCTCCCAAGAAAAGATTCAGAAAACTATCATCTTTGAACATTTACTTCCAGAAGGATCTTCCTTTGTGATGTCGGGAGACCCTCTCCCTAGTCATCTGCACTTTAAAAGGGGGTCTGTGATGAAGGTGGACCCCTAGGCACAGGGAGAAAATTTTGTGTCAAAGCCTCACTAATCCTCCTCTTGTGTGGTTTTGAATTCTCATATGTTCTTACCTAATGTCCTATTTTTCTAACTTTAAATGAGTGCCCCCTTTAAGCAAAAGCTGTGTTTGTTTTTTCTTCCCCTAGAGGAAATACTATAGTAAAACTTTATTAATTAAATGATCTGTATCTTAAAACATAAAACATATTTATAATTAAATGAAATTCTGACATTTATATCTGTGTTACCTAAAATACAGTATTTGTATATGAATTTGAGGTCTTTTTTCTGATTTGTGTTGGACTTAACTTTTTACAAATAGTTCATTTAACATACATTAGAATTTATCACATCTCACTAAGTATAATTTTGGCCTATATAATTTTTAGTTATGGCAGCTACTTGATTGGTATTTAGAGGAAGAAAGGAATTAATCTCATGTCAGGCAAAGGAAAAAAAAAACTAGAAGACGTTGATTAAGGTCAGTTTTTAACAATAAATTGCACTAATCAGCAACTTTAAAAAAAGAAAAAAAAAGATCTCTGCCCAGGCCTGACCTGGAGAAAGGAATTGGCTTATTTTCAGTCACGTTTGGGAAACAGATGGTGGAATTGCTCTGTGTACAGACTAGTAATGCAGTCCCTCACACATCAGCCATCAAAATAATAAAACGAGTAAAATGTCATTGGGCATCAAAGTACAATGGATGATGCTTCACAGTCTTTGATTTTTGGGAAAATAAATAGAGACTTTGCTAAATGAGAATTTTAAAAAAGAAGATGTCATTAGAGAATAAATAATGGCATATTCTTATCAGGTTGAAAATATTTTCTCTGTGACCAGATTCATAAAGGTTATGAAAAAAGGAGACAACTTAATTTTTTACCAAGAGTTGGGTTGGGTCCCTGCAACTCTGTTCCAAGCTGTAGCTTGAAAATGTAATTGGTTTAATTAATCACAAAATTGTGCCAGAGAAGTGTTCACAGTATTACTGTGGATCTAGGCTGCCTGAGATTCTGTTTTAACAACTTCCTGTCCACCCCCTCGTTTTCTTTTTTCTTTTTCTTTTTTTTAAACTACAAAGACAAGAAGAACGGGGGAAAGGTGAATAGATGTTTTTCTTTTGGATCCAGCAACTTGTGGGTAGACCTTTTAATTATACAGAAGAGATAAGTCAGCAAGATATGAACTGAGACAGAATTGTGTTTTAATTTATTGATAACAAAGACAAGACTCTATTTTAAGTAAGTTCTAACTAGTGGGATGTATTTAAGCCAAATATTTATAAATGAGTGAAGTAAGGATTGAAACAAGAAAAGCTTCCAGCCTCTGTGCTAAGGTAGGAAGAAAGCAGACTAATGTTTAGGAAACGAGAGGCTGGCTGCTGATGTGTTATATACAAGCTGAGTATCTTGGGTAAGTTATTATCATTATCATTACTTTTCCTGTTTATGAGAGATTTAGCAAATATCATGGGAAATCCACTACCATTAACGAGATTGTCTCTGTTTATAAAAAATGAAATAAAGTATTAGAATTTGGCTCTTATCCCTCACTATTTCAGAATTTGCACTTCGTCCCATCTATTCTTTTCACATTCACTTACTTTGTCTCTTCTACCAGATCTTAAGCTCTTTCCAGGTCAGAAATAATATTGTTGCTTTCTTGGGCTTAGCATCCAGTAAATGTTCACAAAGTTAACTTCTAATTAGGAGTTAAGACTCTTTGTTTAAAATTATTTCCCTGAGTGTAAATAGGGCCTGGAAGAAAGAGGATGCTGTATTTACAGTCCTAAAAGTGGTTTCATCCTAACTCACCATCCAACTAGCCATGATCCCATAAGCCAGCCATTTAACATTTTTGGGCCTCAGCTTTCTCATTTATCTCTGTGGTATCAGAGATATAATGATATTTTTAAAATACATTATAATGATCAATAGATAAAAGAGTTCTTTGACAAGTTAAAAGTACTATTTAATTTTATTATCACTAATAACATATGATTTGTGAAAATACAGGGAACAGATTTTGCTTTCCTGGCTGGATGCACAAAGAGATGGCTTGGATAAATGTGTGGTCACAAATCATTCTCTGTGCACTCATAATCACTGTTTACCATCTTCTCGAAATCCTGGAAGAATTCTGGTACTGTCCCCTATGATAGCAGAATTTCCCCAATTATAATCTAGGTTTGGATTGGCCCAGTTCATCTGCAGTTTCTTCACCCTGCTGCTAAGAAGTGATAAGCCATATGAGAAAGCTGGCATTCTGAACCCCACCATCTTGGTTACTTGGTTGCCATTTTCAGAAATTCACAGACTTCCTAGAACCCATCGTTGCCTTGCTAGAAGCCGGAGTGAGAGAGAGATGCTGGATCAGCCTGCTTTCCCCTGCCCCAGCTCTCTTAAACTAGTATCATGCTGAGTCACTAACATACATGCCTCAGGATGGGACTTGAAGAGACAACCAACTCAGTTTCTGGGCATGAGAGCACTGAGTTCAGTAGTTTAGTTCAGGCCACCTGCTCTCAGAGATCTGGTCCATGAATCCTCCTGAATGAATCCCAAGGACAAGGCCATTTCAGCACAGTTTGAATGTACACAGTCAATGTCTATTATAGAGTAAACACTTAATATTTTTAAATGAATTAATAATAAATTGTTATAATAATGTCTACTGCATACCTACTTTATCCATAATTGGGGAGAGTGCATAAGAAATATATGACATGGTTCTCCACCAAATATTGTCATTTACTTCAGAAGATAAAGCATGCAGACATGAAATCTTTGAGCATTGAAGTGGAGAGTCTTTAAGTGATAGGATGAATGATTTAAGTAGAGGGCTATAAGAACTCAAAGAAGTGAGGGACCAATAAAGAAGTCTCTTAGGAAGTAAAATTTGAGGTGGATGTTGAAAAATGGATGACGGTACATGAGAAAATGAAAGGATGTTTGCAATCTAAGGAGTACCAGCATGAGACAATGTCTGGAAATGGGATGTGTTTTACTCTTTACTTTTGGGTCATGAAGAGGAGGGGAGGAAGGATTTGAAGTGGGTAGTTAAAACAAAATGGGATTATAGCATACCATATATGTTGGAATAAGACCTGTAGACCTACTCATAAATGAGCACGGAGATGTATTTGCAAAGATTTTCTTAATTGAATTTGCAAAATTTTTGAAGTAATTTAAATTCCATTGGCAGAGGAATGGTTAAATAATTTATGGTGCATTCACATCATGGAGTATTAGGAAGAGTAGAAACAAAGTGGATCTTTGTGTGCTGACATAAAAAGACCACCGTGGAAAGACGTTAACAGTATATTAACGGTGAAAATGCATTCATATAGGATTTGTCGACCTTGAAAATTGATTTTAAAAAATCAAAGTGGTATCTCAGGAAGATTGCTGTGTTGGCATTGTGTCAAAAATGTGTGCTGTGAAAGTGACGAAGGATGTTGGGAGCTGTTTGCCTGACAGATGGAGGAGGCCAAGGATGCAGACCTGAATGGTAAAGAGAGAGATCAAGAACCCAGAGCCATTCTACAGAATGACTGTAAAGGAATTCATGACAGATTCTTAATAGAAAGGATACAAGACAGAGGAGAGAAAAGAGATTTCCAGGTTTAAGCTTAGGAAATATACACTAAACAATGATTTCTATGACCTGAAAGAGACCCGTGTTAATAGGAAACATTCCCTAAAGAAATTTTTTTTAATTGTTTTTCAGGATGGAAGAAACAGTACGAAATCTATTGCAGAGTCAAGGACCTCCAGAACAGAAAAAAGAAGAAACTGTTAATATAATGGTCTATCAGGTACATTATGTTTCTTGCTCTTGGCTGGGTGCCGGTTCACTTGTTTTTCTGGTGCTTCTCTAACTCCGTCCTCCCTAACCCAGAGATCCATAAACAAGCAAGATCCAGACCCCAGTGCTGGGAGCCATTTATCACTTATTTGAGGAATCCTGTACATGGTTATTTAACTCATTTATTCCTTGAACTTGGACTGTCAAAAGAATCTTAGATTTGATTGTAGGAAGGTGCAAAAAATAAGCATATAGTGATACAGAAAGACCTGTGGATTATTAGAGTACTCTGGTCAGGGCTAGAAGAGAGGGATCTACAGTATTCTCCTGGAACACAGCAGACAGAGCAGGTTATCCTGATGGGTGAGGTAGGAATTCTTCCCAGAGGTCTGACATTTAAGCCTGATGAGTGGAGAACAAGAGGAAGAACACTCCAGGCAGAGGGGAAGCCTAGGCAAAGGGGCAGGGGTATGAATGCACATGGCAGGTTCATGGAGAGTAAGAAACTCACGGAGACTGACAAGTCTGATGGTGAGTCTGAGGGTATGCGAAAGAGCTGGCCAAGGTTATGTCTGTGTGCTGTCCTCCTGGGTGTGACCTGGTGCCTCAGGTGATGCAGAATCTAAAGAAGTCCAAGGAGAGTCAGTGGTCAGTGCAGTAACAAGTTGCCATCTTCTGAGAGCCCTTATCCCACTGTGGTTTGACACTAGCAAAGGGGCCAGGCTGAGAAGCAGGACATCTAATCTGAGCCTGACCCGAGCTGATCACACAGCTGAGAAGGCTCTGGGAACATAAAGCACAGGCACTCAGTCTCAACCAATAGAGGACTTTCATTGAAAATCACTTAATCCAGTCATGACTGGGACTTTGTGCTGTACACCAGAAATTGACACATTATAACTGATGGTACTTTTTAAAAATCACTTAAAATCACAAATAGACACCCAGTATCTATTGCTCAACTCTGCCAAGAGAGCTTTAAAAATCTAAAGAAGGCAGGGAAATAGACCGAGACTTAAGGTGATCATTGGGCAGCCCTAGGGTTTTGCTAAAAAGCAAGTGGGTTTGGGAAGGCAAGCATAGGAACCCGGCTGGTCAAGATAATTTCACACCAGCTTTCCTGAATTCACAGGTTCTGGGCTCTGAAACCCAACTTGTGATGACAAAGACTGAGAGAAATCTAGTAAAAGTCACAATATCATATGAAGTTAAGCGATCTAGGCAGAGTTCATCTTAAAGGAGTCTGTGTCCTAAATAGTTGACTCTTGAGACATATACAGAGAGCATGGCATGACCATCGGGACCACTGTTCTCCATCGCCAGTGAAAACAATTTAAGGAGTCGACTTCAGCGACCTCGGAGGAGATTCAAGTGAGCTCCATAAAAACAGTAGAAAAACCACTAAAATCCATTTCTAGGGAAAGGGTTCAGATTCTTCTTGAGGGCTGGTCTTTACCTAGGGAATACATGCATGCCCAGGTTTTCCTGATATGTGGTTGCCTACAGTTAGGATAAGGATTTAAGTCCTTCTGGCCCTGAATCTTTCCAAGGTATTATATCTGCTTTGGTGGAAAATTGAAGTATTAAGTGAAAACTTGGGCTTGATTCTGCATTAGGTGGTTTGGTTTAGCCTAAAAGAGTCCTGTGAACCTGAAATATAAGTCATCTGTTCCCCTTCACAGGTAACAGTAGGCTTCAATTAGAAACAAATAATTTAGCATCACTCCTATATGCTTTTTCCAATCTCCTCAGTGCAGCTCTGTTTCATCCAGGTTCTTATTTTATTTTAATCATTCTTTACTAATACCTTCACCATTTATTAGCCAAATCTGTGGTATAGACACTTATCATCAGAATTTGTTTTGTGAAGCTGGAAACTTTTAGAAAAACAGATATACTTTTAAAAATGTGTTTTAAACCTATTTCCTCTTAATAACCTTGTCTGTTGGATTTGGGAAATCTGCTCTTCCTTTTAGGAAGGAAACAATTATTAACTTGAATTAATGTTATGATGAAGGGATTTTTCAGCCATTACTCTAGTGGGCCTCAGGCTCATTATCTGGAAAATGGCAGAAGAACATGTGTTACATGACACATAAAGGTCATTTATCCATTCAATAGATATTTATTGAGTTTCTAATATGTACTAGGCACAACTTTGTCCTCTGGGGATTCAAGAAAGGAAACAGAGAGGTGGCACTGAGTCCCAGGAAGGTCCTTGTCATCTCACACATTCTAGTATTCTAAATCTGGCTAATAGTAGCAAAATAGGTCATGCAAGATATACATGGTGATACTGGTGGACGGCATAGTTAACACTTCCCTCAAGCCAAATTCTTTGTTTTGGGCAAGAGTTAGGAAATTTATTGCTTCATAATATGGAGGCTTATTAGCACACCTGATTCAAATTTTCCAACTATAAGATTTCTCCAGCAGGAGCCAGAAGCCCATGCAAAGAAAGCTTAGGCCCTTGGGAAAGCTGGTGTGGGTTTCATTTTCCATCATGAAAGTATTTGTTCTGAGGCTTTTATCATTGAGTTAGCATAATAACAGCAGAGTAATAGCTTTCTGTGTTCTTCGCCCATGCTAATTGCGCTGCATGCATTAAAGGGTGGTCCTAGTTTGTTCAAGAGTCGTGTTCCTGAAGACTTCGCATAGTTAGTTACTTGTATAATTTAGAGCTTGCATAATTCCACATGGACTCTCTCAAAGATCAGTAGGTGTTTTTGTTCAGCAGCAAATCAGACCTGCCCCATGGCCATCAGTGGTTTACAGTTCACCAACTTTGCCACTGTGAAGTTCTTGATTCCTTTTTCATTTGGAGAATTTGCATGATTTCAAGGTTTGGGCATGCAGTCACATTAATAGCATTATGTGACTGCAATTTCAAATTGGCCTGGTTCAGTCCCATTGAATGTGACTTGACTGTAGCTCATTCAGTCTTCACAACACCTCTGGGCAGGAAGTCCTGTCCTTGTCTTACAGATGGGGACCCAGGCTCCCAGAGGTGAGTATTTGCTTGAAGATGCAGCCTAGAGTGGCTTAGAAGGGATTCAAACTGGTTGGTTTGACTCCATGGCCACAAGTCTTTATGCGGAGAAATTCTGGAGAAATTAAATGATAGGGCCAAGTTACCCAGCTAGTTATCATCTAAGCTGGGACCTAAAGCTAGGCCTTCCCACTGTCTACCTAGAGCTCTCTCCATTCATTCATCCATTCATTCATTTTTTCATCCATTCATTTAAATGACAATTATTCATTTACTTTTGGACCTAAATGTTTTAGTTTTGTATTGCTGCTGTAACAAACTTAATGGCTGAACACCACAATAATTTATTTTATATTTTATTTTATTTTATTTTGTTTTTATCTTTCAAAAATAATTATGGAGGTCAAAAGTCTAAAGTCACAGTTCTGGCAGGGCTACATTCTTTCTGGAGGCTTCAGGACAGAATTATTTCCTTGCCTTTTCCAGATTCAAGCTTTCTTTGCCTTTTGGCCCTCTCCTCCATCTTTAAAGTACATCGCTCCAAACTCTGGTTCCATTGTCATTTCTCCTTTTCTGAGTTTGACCTTCCTCCCTCCCTCTTAGATGGACCCTGTGATTACATTGGGCCCATCCACATATCCAGGAGAATCTCCCCATCTCAAGATATTTAATCTAATCACATCTGCAAAGTCTCTTCTGCACTAGAAGGTAAGGTAACAAATGTATTGACAGGTTTCAGGGGTTAGGATGTGGACTTCTTGGTGAGGGAGCATTATTCTGTCTGTCCACTAAACAGCACATTAACTTAGCAGGCTGGCAGTACCCACCAGACACCAAGCTAAGTGCTGGAGATACAGAGATGCCCACCTGGCAGAGGCCTTTTCCTGGAAAGCTCAGTTTGTAGGATGCTGGAAAGTGGGGAGAAAGGCAGATTATTGAGTATCTGCAACAATGTGATGGGAGCCAAAAGAGCAGTTTGCGTGAGTCTTGGGAACATGAAGGAAGATGCCACCAAAGCTGCCGCACTGCTCCCTGGAGACCCTGCCTCCTGCCTAGGTCTTCTTTTCAACAATCCTTTCCCTTGTCTTTAGTCTCTGTTGTCTCCTCAGATGAACTCAAAGGTCCCCACAGCCTGCCTTTCTCAGAACACCCTGTATCCCCAGTATTTTAATACAACATCTGACTGTCAGGACACGTATGTTTAGTGCTTTATGGTTCTCAACGTGCTTACACCGAATGGATCTCATTGGTTCATTCCAGCAGCCTCTAAAGTAGATATTATCTTGCTCGCTTTTAAGGATGAGTCTCAAAGAAACCTATTTCAATTCTGGCAAATGCCGAGTGGGAGAACCAGAAATAAATCACAGACTTGCCTAAGTGAGATCCATGGAATAAAACTGAGCAGTTATCTGTGGGATAATTTGATGGCAGGGTTGGGAGTGGACACAGTCTGAACTTCCCAGCTCACAAAGTCATTGTGTCAAAATCCAAAAACTAAGTGAAAGGAAACTGAGATAAATTATTAAGCCATATAACGTTCGTGCCCGACATTTCTTCTGTGAGAGAGACAAGCCTGTGACTAAAAGAAATAGTATCATTAGATGGAGGGAAAGTGGCATACCTGATGCCTAGGACAGACTCATCTCATTAGGGGGAAATAAAAGACCCCGAAAGACTGTCTTTAGAGGCGCCTGAATCAGGAAAATCATCTTCTGTTTTCCTCCTGCTGTTTCTTTCTCCAGCTCATTTTCTCTAAGGGTTTGGAGGTTTCTTCTGTGTCATGTGGTATATTCTCATCACCAAGTTCACCACTGTATTTACTTAAGTAGTTAGGAAGCATGTTAGGGAAAAACGTTCATGATTTGAGATGAATGGGGGCAATTAAGTGTGAATGAAATGGAGCAGCTGGATGAGAGGCCATCAGTCCTTCAGCTTCATCTGTCAAAATATTTCCACACAAGCAAGCTGGCTAAGAGAATGGTAACCCTGGCGACAGATCACTCATTGCCTCCTCTTGTGTC